GGGATCCCGTCCCGCAGGAAGGAGCAGAGGGGGGATGTCCCACAGCCACCGTGGGGGTCCCGCCCCGCACCGAGGGGTTCCCCCGCGCCTCACCCGCAGCTCCAGCACGGGGGTGTCGATGGCGGCCGCCCCGTGCCGCTTGAAGCAGGACACCACGGTGCCCAGCAGCCGCTCCCGCAGCGCCGCCTGTGCCGGCGGGTGGTCGCGGGTGCCCTGCCCGGGACACGGAGAACAAGCCGTGAGCGGCGGGGCCGCGCGGGAACGCTCGGTACCCACCGGCACCGCCCGCAATCCCCGCCTTTACCTTGGGCGTTTTCAGCACCGGCACCACCCTCCCGCCGCCGCCGCCACCGCCCCGGGACAGAGCCGGCGGACAGGACCGGGGGATGCTCTCCCGGTTGCCAGCGAGGCGGTGCCGCGGCGGTGCCCGGCGGGCGAAAGCGGCGGCGGCGATGGGGCCGATCCGCAGCATGGCCGGGACCGGGACCGGCGCACCGGGAGCGCGGGGGGACACGTGACACCGGCAGCACGTGACACCGGCGGCACCGGGAGCGCGGGGGGACACGTGACACCGGGGGCGCACGTGACACCGGGCGGGAGGCCGCGCTTTACGGCGCCGCGCGACAGTTCCCGGTGCCGTCCCCCCTCAGGCCGCCATGGCGTCGGGCAGCGGGGTGGGTACCCCCGGGGTAGGAGCTGCCGCGCCTCCCGACGCTCCTCCCGGGCTCGCCGGGGCTTGGCGAGGGTCGTGGGGGCTGCGCTGACGGAGGGAGGGAGGGCGGGTGGCGAGGCGGGGCCGCGCCGCGCTGGGGGCCCGCGGGCAGGCCGCGGCGTGAGGGGCTCCCTCGGGGGTGAGGGGTGCGGTGGGAGAGAGCACATGCCTGCTCTTTATGTCTCTGTGTGTGGGCGGTGGGAGGTTTGGGGCCCTGTGAAAGGCCCTGATGTGTTAAGGGCTGGAGGGGCCCCGCCGCGATCGCGCCCATCGGGAAGGCGGGGGGTCGCCGTCCCGGGAGGTGTTTAAGGAAAGGGCGGACGTGGCACTCGGTGCTCCGGGCTGGGTGACGAGGTGGTGTTGGGTCACAGGGTGGACTCGGTGGTCTCAGAGGGGTTTTCCCAGCTCAGTGATTCTGTCCCAGCCTGAGGAGGTTGAGTCGCCCCAACCCCCCGGGGGTCCCATCCCACCCCAGGGACCTCCTGGGATGGGCAGTGGCTCGTGCGGGCGTCTCCCTCCTTCCCCTCCCTGTCTCCTTACTTCCTGTGGCTTCTCGGCCGTCCTGGCTGTTTCCCGGCTGGATTTCACACTGTCCTGCTGGAGAAGCAGCTCTACAACTCCCTGACAGGAGGGTGGAGCGGGGAGGGGGGCTGAGATCGGGCTCTGCTCCCGGGGAACAAGGGACAGGATGAGAGGAAACGGCTCAAGCTGTGCCAGGGGAGGGGCAGGTTGGACGTCAGGAGGAATTTCTCCCTGGAAAGGGTGTTCAGGCGTTGGAAGGGGCTGCCCAGGGAGGTGGTGGAGTCCCCACCCCTGGAGGTGTCCAAGGAAGAACTGGCCATGGCACTCAGTGCTCTGGGCTGGGTGACAAGGTGGGGATGGGGCACGGGGTGGACTCCATGGGCTGGGAGGGCTTTTCCAGCCTCAATGATTCTGTGAGTCTGTGAATGCTGAGATGGGGTGGGTGAGGGGGATGCTGTGGGTGTGGTCTGGCTGGACAGCCAAGGTGGTTTCAACACCTCCAGTGACACCCCAGAGCTGCCAGCAGTGTAGCAGCTGTGTTTTTCTGCCTTTTCTACTTTTTTTGGCCCATCTTTCCTTCCTTGAAGCCACTTGCTGAGAAGTGAGAAGGGAGGCCCTGGCACAGGTTGCCCAGAGAAGCTGTGGCTGCCCCATCCCTGGAAGTGTCCAAGGCCAGGTTGGACGGGGCTTGGAGCAACTTGGGCTAGTGGGAGGTGTCCCTGCCCATGGCAGGGGATTTGAACTGGATGATCTTCAAGGTCCCTCCCAACCCAAACCATTCTGGGATTCACTCTGTGATTCCATGCAGTGAGCAGTGATGAAGGTGAACAGCAGGATTTCTCCCCAGGAGGAAGATGGGGCCTCTGGTTTATTCTCAGCTGCCAGCTGAGAATTCCTGTTGGATTGAGTCAGGCTTGAGACTCCTCTATCATTTAATAGGCTTTGGTGCTGATACTGAGCAGATCATTGATGCCTGTCTCAAGAGGGAACAGGAAGCTGTGGGGCACTTCTGGTTATTAATTGTTGTTAGTGATTTGGTAAATACTCTCTGAGATAATGATTTTGGGGCTTGCAGCCCCCCTGCCTCCACCAGAGCAATTCAGAAACGTCCCTTCAGGTATTGTCCAAGCAAGATCTTGTCGAGCAGTTGGGCTTAATTTCTTTCCCCATGCCTGGATGAGGCAGATTGGTAAAAGAACTGCAAAAGGCTCTTTTACTTTTATTACAACAGGAGAGAGAGAGAAGCAGCAAATAAACCTCCCCCTCTGCAGGGGGATTTGTGATAATGCCTGGCATGCAGGAGAGTCTGGAAAATACCCCCAAACGTTAATTTACACTCTGTGATATTTTCTTTTCTTTTGCTCAGGGTGGTTAATAAAACCTGTTACGACATCCTTAAAGTGCTTAAGAAAGCTCTGGGAATAAATGAGAATTTTTCTACGCCTCCCCAAGGCATTTTCATCCCTATCAGTGGTTGTTCGTTCCATTTGAAGGATTGCCAGAGGAGAGAACCTTAAATGGCTGTGCTGCTGCTGTAGCTCCAAATGGGATTTGTGTCCTTTGGATTGTGATTGGATTCTTGATTTGGCTGAACGGAGAAGGCGGGGGGAGCGTGGGGGTCCTTCTCTCCCGGAGGTGTTTTTAAATACATCTGTCCTTTTTTTAATGTGAAACTGAGAGGCTCTCCCTGCCGTGCTGAGGGAAATGCAGCTCTGCCCAAATGGGAGTTATCTGCTCAGGGAAGTCGAGAAGAGGCTGAGTTAAACCATGACTGATCCCAGGTACAGGGGCCTGAGGTGCAGATGGGGCAGACACTGGGAAGAGCCCGAGCTGGTTTGGTTAGAGTGGGTATGGGTGGAACAGAGATTCTTGTGCAGTCACTTCTGCCCTCAGCGTTGGGGACTGGGTGAAAATCCACCCCAAAAAATAGTCTTTGTGTTCGTCAGTGCCTTCACTTGAATTCAGCCTCTCTTCACACATGTGCTGCATCCAGCTCTGAGTCCTCAGCACAGAAAAGAAATGGACCTGTTGGAGAAGTCCAGAGGAGGCCACGGAGATGCTCCAAGGGCTGGAGCCCCTGTGCTCTGGAGCCAGGCTGGGAGAGCTGGGGGAGTTCACCTGGAGAAGAGAAGGCTCCAGGGAGACCTCAGAGCCCCTTCTGGTGCCTAAAGGAGCTCCAGGGGAGCTGGAGAGGAACTGTGGACAAGGGTTGGAGGGACAGGACAAGGGGGAATGGCTTCCCACTGCCAGAGGGCAGGGCTAGATGGGATATTGGGAAGGAGTTCTTCCCTGTGAGGGTGGGAAGGCCCTGGCACAGGTTGCCCAGAGAAGCTGTGGCTGCCCCATCTAAGGCCAGGTTGGATGGGACTTGGAGCAACCTGGGCTAGTGGAAGGTGTCCCTGCCCATGGCAGGGAGTGGAATGAGATGATCTTTAAGGTCCTTTCCAACCCAAACTGTTCCATGATTCCATGAACTTACCCTGTCAGTGCCAGAGAGAGCTCTGTGGAGGTGCTGAAGGCCCAGTGCCTCGGAGGTGTTTCTGTAGGAAGCTGCAGGAGCTTTCTGTGCATTTTGTTCAGGTGCTTCCCTGGTACTTCCAAGCCCTGCCTTGACAGACAGGGTTCCAGAGCCTTTTCTGGTTTGCTTTGCTGTACTTGGAAATCCCACACTGATGCCTCTGATTTCACGGCAAAGTCGGCATTTTGGTGCCTGTAACAGCCTTCCCTGCTCCTGCATTTTAATCAAACTCTCTCTGGCTCAGACTGTGTTTCACAGCTTCCTCATCTGTTATTTGCAGCTTGGGTTCAATTGACTCTTGGAAGGAGTAGGTGTAATCTGTGCTGTGTCTGTCAGGGGGCACTTCCCAGGTCTTAGATCCAGCACTTTCAATCCCTGTTGGGTCTAGTTTTCAAGGCAAAAGCCTGGATGATCGTCTCAGGAGCTATTGAGATAAAGTCATTTCTTCTCTCAGTGCTCTGAAATCCTTCTGTAAGTACCCAGAGCCACGCTGAGAGTGATTCTCTTAAGCCACATCCATAATTCCTAGATAGGAAAACAAAGGACATGGGGATATAACGTAATGCCCCCAGTTTACTGCCGTGGCCTCACAGGCTGAGTGATTCCACCTCTTTCCCCCCTCAGAGGTGATCAGACTGTATGATAAATGTTAATGCACTTTGTTTGCCTCCCAGACCAAGAACCTGGACTTCCGCAGGAAGTGGGACAAGGATGAATATGAGAAACTGGCGGAGAAGCGGCTCACGGAGGAGAGAGAAAAGAAAGATGGTGTGTAGTGTGCTGGCCCCAGGCAGGCTGTGCTGTGCTGGCACTGAGTCTCCCAAATCCCTGGAGTTTGGGAGGGAGAGAGCAGCTAGAAGTCAAGTCCCAGAAGGGAAAAATTGGCTTGCTCCAGTCCTTTTTCCTGTGTTTGCCACTGAGTGCATTTTTTTGACGACAGGAATTAGTGAGAACCTTTTGGGGGGAGGGAGGGGAACAGTCAGCCCCTGAAACAAGGAGCTCTCAGAATATGACCCAAGTCAGAGCTGGAGATACCTCAGAGATGTACCTGGTTCTAGTTGGAAGCAACTATATCCTTTACTGATTTAAAAACAAAGGTGCATTTTCTGCGTGGATCAGGTGGTCCCAGGTTCCCAGCAGGCCCCTCTTCCCCAAGGGGAACATCAAATCCACCGTGTCAGGCTTGACCTTTTGTTTATGTTTTAGGCAAACCAGCTCAGCCCGTCAAAAGGGAACTTCTGCGGCACCGAGACTACAAAGTGGACCTGGAATCCAAGCTGGGGAAAACCATTGTCATCACCAAAACTACCCCTCAGTCAGAGATGGGGGGGTAGGTCATGGTCTTGTTGGAGTCTCAGAGTTGTGCTGGGGTGCTGTGTCACAGTAGGGACCCCTCACAGGGCACCAGGAGCTGGTTTCCTCCTGTGTTTGGAGCCTGGGGCAGTGGGACTGCACTGGTTTACACCCAAATTGTGTCTCCTGGGGTAACGTATGGAAGAGACCCAGCAGGCTGAGCCCCTTTGGACATTATTCCTTGATATCAGTGTTGTCCAGCTGTAGGAACAACAAGGAAGCAAATCTTTGCCACCTGCTTGGGTTTCTTTAGCCAGACCTGCTTGCACTGAGACCAGGGCTGCTGCTGATTTGCGATTCTGGTTTTTATATCTGTGCACAGGGAATGGGAGAAACATCCAGATACCTGTCCTTAGGAATGGTGTTTGGCCACTGTTTGTGTGGATCATGTTCCACCAAAGGCTGAAAGGATTCTGAGCTTACCCTAAAAGACTGTGTTGAGTTTGTGTCACCTCAGGAGTGTTAGTGTCTCCCTGGCCAGCAGTGCCAGGGAGATGTGCAGCCCTGAACAGCATCCAGGGATGGAAGTGCAGCCCCTGGCTGGGCTTTTGCAGCAGCTGTTGAGATGGGCAGAAAGCAGATCAGGGAGTTGCTCTGTGAGGTGATGGGGATGGCAGGACTCACCTTGCAGCCAGGTGAGAGGCAGTGGGATGTAAAGGAACTGGGGGAGGACAGGTCACAGAATCCATCCCACCCAGGTGGGTGTGACTGGAAGGGGAAGATGCTGTGGCTGGTATTGCAGAGCAGCTCAGAATTTGGTTTCTATCGTGTCAGAGGGGTGTTGGTGTAAGGGCAGATCCCTCTGGGGCATCTCTGTCCATCTGGAGTGTACCCCTGCTCATTGCTCTTCACTGGGATCCTCTTGTCCTGGAAAAAAGTCCCATATCCCAATTGACATGCAGATTGTCTCAAATAGCTGTTCTGTGGGATGGGGTTTGTCTCATGCTTTGGGGTTAATCTTTTCTCTCTCTCCTGCCAGGTACTACTGTAATGTGTGTGACTGTGTGGTGAAAGATTCCATTAACTTCTTGGATCACATCAATGGCAAAAAACGTAAGGATCATTTCTCTGCCTCTGGTTGGTTGAGTTGGAGGGCTGTTCCCTTCCTGCATCACCCATGTCTGAGGGTTGAACACATCCATGGAGTAGAGTGCTTTGGAGATCAGGATGTGGGGACTGTTTGCTCCTGAGAGCTGTGGAGGTGCTGCCTTTATCTCCTGGCACCTTCCAGCATGCTGGACCATTCTCATGGACTAAGCCCAGCAGAAACAGTGATGGTGTACTTTGGTTAGGTGTATCTTCCCAGGGTCAGCAAATCCCTACGACTCCTGAAAATCTGGAGAGAGGCTTTTCACAGCACTGAAACTGTAATGAAATCTTTAGAGAAGTATAAGGTCTGTCACTGGCCCATTTTTGGGTTGGAAACTTCTCTTTATAGAAGTCAAGTGTGAAGCTCAAAACTGGCTGTCCCTGAGCTCCAGATCAGATCTTGTGTGGATGGAGGCAGAGGATGAGCAGAGGCAGGAGTGGGGCAGTTTGACTCTGGAGCTGTCTCCAGCAGTGTGGTGGTGGTGTCCTGTACCTCACTCTGGTTCTTGTCTCTGCTGCTGTAATGATGCAATTAAGTCAAGATAAAGGCAAGAGAGAAGAATTCCCAATTTATCAATCTCTTCCCTTAGTGTGTTTAACCTGAAAAAGAGGATTATACCCTCAAGCTGACTGTGATCATTGCTTTTCCTTGGCATGTTCAGAGAGTGGGGGAACGTGGAGAAATTAAAGGAGCAGCAGGGTACACTGACACACTTCCCATGTTGTTCCTTCCCTTAGAGGTGTTTTTGGCTCCTTGTGGAAGTCAGCAAATGACCCCTTTGCAAAAAGGCGGGGGGGGGTGTGCTCCAGACCTGCACAAGGGGCAGTTTGAGAACTGGGGGTTCAGAAGAGATCTGAGGGCTGGTTTTCTGTAGCTCAGAAAAGGAAACCCAATGTGTTAAAGCCCTGTGCTTTTATGTGGATGGAAGGAGGGTGTTGACATGCCTTGTTTGACGTGTTGGGAGATTGGCAAGAAATCCATATGAGAGAGCCTGGAATCCAAAATCCTGGCATGGCTGTGTGGATGGGATGAGATGCAGGGTTGAGCTGGGGCTGGAAAGTGGCTGATGCACAGTACCTCGGTATGAGTACATTGAGAGCTTTTGATCCAAGGCCATAAATCTGGCTTAAACCTGCTTGTTCTTGGCAGTCCTCTTATTATTCCTGGTGTATAGTTTGAACTTCCAAGTGCTTTTGCATCCCTGGGACAAACCCATGCATGGTTGCTGGAGTCATCAGGCTGTTTGGATCTACCCAGGAATGCAGGTTGGAGACATTGCTGGGGATGGCCCCTCCAACCTAGGCTTGCCTATGAGTGAGAAACTGGGAATCTGCTCTAAAGAGACACTAAATTTGCAGCCTGGCTTAATATTTCCTGTTCCTGCTTTAGTGAGCAATGTCCTGTGTAATTCAGGATCTCTGAGTGCCACTCATGTCTTGTGTAGCATCTCCCACTGCCAAGAGATGCCAGTCTGCCAGTTTTATTATGGCTCCTTTTTCAACACTCCAACCCTTTTTTATTCCACTGGTCCAAGTTTAAATTTCCTGAAGCATCAGAGCTTCATGACAGGGAGCATCCAAATAGGGAGCCTTAAAAGCATAGTTAGTGTTTGTCTTGTTACAAGTAATGTTTGGCTTGTTGTGGTCACTGCTGGTTTGGGTTATGGTGTCCCCCTGAAGCCCACACCCTCCGACCTAAGAAATCCTTGTGCACAGGGGTAGTCCAGGCCTGGAAGCTGCTTTGAGGGGAGGGATGAGAGGCAGGAAGATGCTGCTGTGCTGTTTCAGTTGGGGTCAGGGATGGGGACTGTGCAGAGCACTGAGGGCTGCAGGTGTTGCTGGGCACGGCTGATTCCACTCCTGTTCTCCAGACCAGAGAAATCTGGGCATGTCCATGCGGGTGGAACGTTCCACGCTGGACCAGGTGAAGAAACGCTTTGAGGTGAACAAGAAGAAGATGGAGGAGAAGCAGAAGGACTATGACTTCGAGGAGAGGATGAAGGAACTCCGTGAGGAGGTGAGTCTGGGGCAACAACTGAGGAACCAAAGCTCCCCAGAATCACGTTTTGGGACGAAATCAACCCTGCTTCCTAATCTTGTTCCACAGAAGCCTTGTTCTTGGTATCACTCTTGTCTGCTGCTATGAGTGGGTTTTGGTTTTTTATTATTTACTCTTTTAAAGGTTTTTGCTGCTGTCTCTGGAAACCCTTTTCCCCTCTTTCTGTGGGAGGATAACTTTTGGTAGCTCGGGTTTCCACTGAATGCGGCACGAGACCATTTTTTGTCTCCCATTAGTTGTGTTGGAATTTGTGTGCTCTGAAAGCAGACCTGCGTCTTTGTCCCTTTTCTTCCACAGTTCTTAGGATTGCTGGGATCCTCCTCCATATGGCACTTGCTTCTGTGTGGCCTCCTTGAGTGTCAAAGGGCTTTGTGAGCAGTGTGCTGTGGTGTGAGATGTGTGAGGAGGAGGTGAAAGACAGCAGATTCCTCTCAAACCAGGGCTTAGGTGCCAGTAAACATGAAAATCAAGTTGACTTGAAAACCCACCAAAGTTCCGACAGCTGAGGAGCTGCTATGGATGCTTCTCCCCCATCAGCAGCCGTGTAATAACCCAAGATTACAAATCACTGCCCGTTTGAGTCTCCCTTCTCAAGCCCTGAGCTTTGCTTCACCACAGGGGAGCTCTCTGGGGTGCTCACAGAGCAGCCCCATCCTCTGTTTGGGGGGGGGGGAGGTAGGAGGGAGGTGCCCCAGCAGCACAGGGAGTGCCGTGGGTTGGAAGGCTGCTGCCAAGTCCATGGATGGCAGCAAGGAAATGGGCAGCAGCTCCTGGTGCAGCTTTCTCCAGGGCACGGCGCAGCAGGCGGTGCTGGGGATGGCAGGAGCAGTTGGTAAGATGGGAGCTGAAGCCATGCTTGGTGTCACCTGGTACAAGCCTGGCTTTGTTCCAGGGCTCGTGATTCTCGCAGAGCAAAACACTTTGATTAGAGCAGCGCAAACTCTTTGATGCCAAACCCCCCCCCTCCAAAGCTGCTCAGAGCTTCAGCTTCTGTTCCAGTGAGCAGCTGTCACTCTGCCAGGCCGAGAGCCAACAGGCATCACAGTCACTGGCACGGGGCGTCGGATGAGGGAACAACCTCCTGCTTTCAAACCAGCTCCTTCTTCCCTCAACCTTCATTCCAGGCATAACTTGTGACGTTTGCTCAGAAGAGAGAGTTTCATAACACTTTTTTTTCTTTTTGGCTACATCTTGTGTGTGTGGGTCTGCTCTTGGGGTGGTCTGGATTCTCTGGGAAACGTTCTCCTCAGAGACCACAGGCCAGGATTTCTGCTGCCTGTTTATTTCCTCAGGCACAAACTTGGGTGCCGTAGGCAGGACATGGCTTTGGCTGTGCAGTGCCTGGTGTCTCAAGAGCTCCCTCAGCTCAGGAGGTGCAAATTGTGTTGCTGTTGTGTCCCTTGCTGCAGGAGGAGAAGGCCAAAGCCTACAAGAAGGAGAAGCAGAGAGAGAAGAAGAGGCGGGCGGAGGAGGATTTGACCTTTGAGGAGGATGATGAAATGGCAGCTGTGATGGGCTTCTCTGGTTTCGGCTCAACCAAAAAGAATCACTGAGCAGCTCTGGACTCTCCTCTTTCTCTAAGCAGTTTGTTTTTACCCAGGGAACTCTGGATAACTCTTCAAAGACTTGATGGAGGACTTGTATGTAAATCTCTCAGTAGAAGTTGGCTGGAGGAGTCGAAAAGTGATTCCATGCTCTACCTGTGCTGCAGAACAAGCTCCGCCTCTCATTAGCTTCCCATCTCCTTCTGTGTCCTAGATCTGGCTGCTCAGCTGCTCTGTGGCCGTGTGCGTGCCGGGAACTGCTCTGCTGGGTGCATTTTTGTGTCAATAAAGTGCAGCCATTCTGCACAGGTGGCCTGGTTCAGGATTAATCTAGTTGTCAGCCAGGCCCTAGTTGTCACCCAGGCTGTGTTTGAGGCGCAGGGAGGGATCCAGGTTGTTTTAGGATCGTAACGGGAGGAAATGTGCCACAGCAAGCGGTGTGAGCGGTACAACCTGCATCTTCATGGCTTGTGCTGAGCAGGGCTGGTGGCTGCATGGAGTCTGGGTTGCTGAAACTTTCCTGTGTGTTTTACCTGCAAGGGAGACTTCCCTGCTTTTTCTTTGTGTTTTATCCCATAATTTCGTTCTCTTTAAGGCGGGGGAGAAATTCCTCCCCAAGGCTGGTCTAGGATAGAGCCAATGAAAGAAAGGTGTGTTCGATTTGCCAGAAATAAATTGACTCTTTTAATGGGTCCTTTGGTGGGAGTTTGATGCCTTATTTATTTTGAGAGCTTCTGCTGCCCACTGAGAGGAGCTGCTGATGTCTCCTGTCAGCACAAAGCTGGGCTGGCCTTCTGGGGACCTCGATGGAGACAAAGGCGTGGTGTGTGCCCCCCTCTCCTGGCTCAGCTCCCAGCTGCCCTAGATGGGCAGTTGCCATCATTCTTGGGTTTTTTTAAGTAATTCTGGAGAAGGGTGTAAGAACTTGGGAGGGGGAAGGGACTTCAGGGCTGGGGACCTGCATTTCCATCATGCAATCCAAGACAGGCTGGGCTGCTTTCCAGATTTTATCAGCCTTAGTATATTAAGGGCCATTTTTTTCCTGTCTACTGGCTGTCAGTGTCTTTTCACCTCTGCCCTCCCCTAAATCCACTTCATTTCAGCTTTTATTTACCTCAGTCAAACCTTGTGTGACTCATTTCCGTCTGCAGTTAGGATTTATATTTTGCATGGCTGGGTTTTCGTGGCTCTGTCTCACTCTCCTCTCTCTTTTTATGTATATTGATGAAATCCTTGTGCTTGCCCTTCTCCGTGCTCGTATGAAATTTCCAGCCTGGGGAAGGCTGCAGTGTTTAGCCTGCTCTTTCTAATACATCTAGAACAAATCCTGTAATGTTGTGCTGCTGTTTTAATTCCTTAATCTTAGCCTGCTGACAGCTTCATTGCCTCAGGTCTTTCCGCTTCAATTCAGATTATAATCCCCGTTGAAGATGCTATTGAAATGATATATAGCCAGTCAGATACAGCTGTCCTTGGAGGTTTGACCCTTTTAACTTGGCAATCCTTTGACTTCGGCTCTCTGAGCACACGGGCTGGGAGGGCAACTTGCATTCCAGCCACGTTCCCAGCGCTGTGCAGGCTGCAGCACGTGGCTCCGGCTGAATGGGAGAGCGGAGACGCTCGCGCCTTTGTGCCCTCCGGGGTGCGAAAGGGACGCTGCCGTGGTTTCATACACATTAAAAGTTTAGGATGTTTCAGAGAAGATTTAGCAGCAGCCATTTTATCCCAGCCACCAGCTCTGCAGACACCCAGCCCCTCTCCGCAGCCGGGAACTCAGTTGGCACTGCTTGGGAAGGGCTGCCCCGCACCCTCCCTCTTTCCCAGCTTGTGACCTTGGAGCCAGTGGCTGCTGCCTTGGTTTCCCCATGGAGCATCCCGCTGTTCTTGTCCATCCTGGCACACGCAAGGGGCAAGGTATGAAATGGGCAGCCCCCAAGAAAACCTTCCTGGGGAGGTGGTCGGGCTTGTGCAGCCTCCTGCCACCGGGCCCTTCCCGTCCCTGCCTGCTGCTCCCTTCCCGTCCCTGCCTGCTGCTCCCTTCCCGTCCCTGCCTGCTGCTCCCTTCCCGTCCCTGCCTGCTGCTCCCGGTCCCTGCGAGACGGGGAGGAAATCCCTCCGCAGTGCAGCGCTTTCATTAACGACATTCCTCTTGGGTGCAAAACCTGTCCTCCCCAAACCCATCCCGAGGCCACCTGCGCCCTGGGGGCCGAAGCCCCGGCCCCAGCTCCCCGTGCTGGGGCTGCTCACGCCGGGGGAGTGCAGCTCTTTGTCTCGGCGGCTTGCTGGGAGCAGTGGTGTGTGCGGCAGCAGATACAAGCTCTTGCTGGATTCCCAGCAGCGGGAGCTGCCTCTAGCCAAGGATGAAAAGCTGGTTTCATGGGAGGAAATAATATTTAGAGAAGAGACAGATAACATTCCCTGCACCAGCCACGTTAACCCTTTACTCCCACTGCTGTTTGGGGGGGTGTTAACCCTTAGCTCATGGCTCCCAACACTACAACTGTTGGGTCTCTGTGACTCTTCATTACCATTCACCATCTCCATGATGAGTTTAAGGTGCTGCATGTGCCTGTGTAGGTCAGGACTTGGGGTTTTGATTGGAGAGAGGGAGGCCCCAGCTCTGCACCTCCCCTTTCTACTTCCTCTCCCACCCCAGCAAACAGGGCCAGGTGTTCTGCGCCTACTGGGTCCTCTATTTGCTCTTGCCAAAAGGGAATGCAGCTCTTCCACAGGTTAAAACTGGGATCTGGTGGAGTAAGGAGGGGCATTTTGCATGGTTCCCACATCCAGGCTGGGGTGTCCTGTCTGGTCTTGCTGTGAAAGTATTTTGAGGTGCCTGGAGCCAGCTTGGTGCTTGTTCCCAGCACCTGGGCAGAGGTATAAGGCTCTGCCTTGGGCATGGGGCAGTTCCTTATGACCTGTGGTCAGAGGACATGGGGGAAGGATGAGGGTGTCCTAGCCCGGTTGGGGACCACACTCAGCCTGAGCTGGCCTCCTGTGGCTGCATCCTGTTAAATATCGATGGCAGTGTTTGGAGGTGTGTCCACAGCAGACCCTAGAGAAAACAAATCTGTCTTGCCCTCTCCACTTCCTCTCTCCCTGACTTCTTCCCTGGCCTCACCCTGGAGAGGAGGCCTGAGGCCTCATGGAGTGGCTGAGCACCAGTATCCTGCTGTTTTTCCCCTTTCCTTCCTTCCTGGACACCCCTCAACCCTGCCCTCTCCTGCCAGCCCACCTTCCCTTCACTCTTTGCATGTCCTCCTTGGGACTGGGGGAGCAGCAGCAGCATTCCCACCATCCCAGTAAAATGACTGGGATCAGGGACCTGGAGTGATTCTGCAGAAGGGGTCCCAGCCCAGCCCTGTGTGTTGCTCTGCCTGGGCCAGCTGAATCATTCCCTGCTTCCATGACTTTATTAGCAAAAGACATGGCTTTTCAGCACTCTACATCAGTTTTACATCCCAAAAGGTTTAAGAGCTTGGCAGGAGCTCCAGTCCTCCCACTGCTCAGGCCACAAGCTACTGCTGCCCCAGTTAGGCAGCCATTCCTGCCATTTGCCATCATTAAAGCCAAACAACATCCATGGGCAATATCCCTGGAAACCCTCCTGCCTTGCTTTGACCTGGTATGGTGGTGCCAGGAGGCTCTGCCACCAAATCCCTGTTTTACTGAGGCTTCTGGGTCTTTCACACTCCATCGGCTGACCTGCTGCTGTGGCATCATCCCACACAACCCCGGAGCTGGTATTCCTGCCCCTCCAAGTCTATGGACACCCTGAGAGCCACCTGGATCAGTCAACCCTTGGCCCAACCTGTCCTGCTTTCCTCATGCAGGGGGACAAGGTGTCCCCAGAGGAAAGCTTCACCTGTGGAAGGACAAAGTTTCAGCCCCTGGTTGGAACTGGGGTTGCTGCAGAAGGGAGCAGGAATCATAGAATCCTGGAATGGTTTGGGCTGGAAGGGGCATCAAAGCTCATCTCATTCCAACCCCCTGGCAGGGACACCTTCCACTATCCCAGGTTGCTCCAAGCCCTGTCCAACCTGGCCTTGAACACTTCCAGGGATGGGGCAGCCACAGCTTCTCTGGGCCATTGAGGAAGGGATGGGAGGCAGGGTGGAGACTTGTAGAGGGGAAATCCCTGGGCTGGGAGGTTTTTGCTTCCCACCTGCAGCTTGGATGGGAAACTTGGACACAGGTTTTTCAAAGAGGGGACACCCACAGTGAAGTGGTTCTTGACCTGGAGACCTCAGCAAGCTGGGCCACTCTCCAAACAGTTTTTGGCTCAGTCCACAGGTGGAATCAAAATGGAACGAGTGGGGCTCTTGAGTGTTCCAAACTGGAAGGAAGGAGACAGCCCTGGTGCCTCCCCCATCCCAGTCGGATCTGCTGCCGCAGCCAGGTTGGAGGCTTGCTGGAAGGATGGATGATTTCTGGGCTCGGTGTGGGGCTCCTGAGCACAGGGGAGGTTTTGCTTTGTTGCAAGCAAAGTACAAAACCATCATCAGCCAGAGAACAAACAGCTCCGGGCTGGAGAGGGAGCAGGGAGAGGGAGGTGGGGAGGAGCAGGGGGAGCGCGGGGACAGGGCGTCCGCAGGAGGTTTTTCGGGGACTTGTGATCTCAGAGCAAATTTCTGCTGTTGGCTGCGCACCAGTGGCACCATTTCACCAACTCATGCGTGCCTCCCCACCGCCAGCTCCGCGGCGCTGAGCGCCCCGGGGGGGTCGGGGCCGCTCTGCGGAGGGCTGCGGGAATATGGTCCCTGCTCGGAGAGCGTGTGATCTGCCAGGCAGCCAGGGAGCCCCGGGGACACTGCCATGCCTTTGTTCCTCCTTCTCTTTCTTTTCCACCTTCAGATTTTTTTTTCCCTCTGCTTCCAGCTGCGTATGCAGCACTCCCCCCCCCCTCTTTCCACCCACAGTTCCTGTCTTGATTTTCCTTCCCCTCTACAAATATGTGTTCCTTAGGCTCCTTCTCCTCCCTGCCCGGCTCCCCCCGTCAGCGTTGCCTTCCCAAACTTGTCTTTTTTCCTTTCTCTCTGTTTTCCCACAGGCCCTTCTCATCCCTTCCCCTTCCTGCTTCTCTCCCCTTCCCTCCAGCCTCTCGGGCTCCCGTTCACTCACTCGTCTCCCCTTCTCTGACAGTTTGGGGAAAATCTGTCTGTGTCAACACACAAATTCCATTATTTATTGGCTGAGCTGAGCGGGGTCCTACACTCGTCTGTAATTGTCTCCAGATCAAAGCGGCTGCTGATGGCAGCTTTGCCTTCTCGCAGCAGAACACCACCCCCAGCTTCCAGCTCCCCATCCTCCCGGGGGAGTCGGGTGCGTGTGCGTCGACACCCTCGATGACTGATCTCCCAGACAGAGAGGAAAGAAGTAGGGCTGGTGGGGGAGAAAAGGGAGACCTGGAGGATCTGCAAAGCTCCCTAGGAGAAGATGGGGGTGTTGGGGAGTGTCCCAGGGGGTCACACAGTCCCTGGTAGAGGCCAGGAGAGAGTGGGAAGGTAGAGGTGGTCCGTATCCTGGGAATGGGGACAGAGAAATGAAGTGAAAGGAGGGGCAGGGAAATGGGAAACATTCCCATATCTGTCCAAGACTGGAAGAATTAGAATTTTTACTCCAGAGATCCAGGATGGCTCCATAGAACCAGGTGGCTAAAAACAAGAAATAGGGACAAAGGAAACACAC